AGTATATGAGTGAGTATGAGTATATGAGTGAGTATATGAGTGAGTCTATAAGTATATGAGTGAGAATATGAGTATATGAGTAAGAATGAGTATGAGTATGTGAGTGAGCATGAGTATATAAGTGAGTATATGAGTTTATGAGTGAGTATATGAGTATGAGTGAGTATATGAGTATATGAGTGGGTATATGAGTATATGAGTGAGTATATGAGTATGAGTGAGTATATGAGTATATGAGTGGGTATATGAGTATATGAGTGAGTATATGAGTATGAGTGAGTATATGAGTATATGAGTGGGTATATGAGTATATGAGTGAGTATATGATTACATGATTGAGTATATGAGTACAAGTGAGTATAGGAGTATATGAGTGAGTATGAGTATATGAGTGAGTATATGAGTACGAGTGAGCATATGAGTTTATGAGTGAGAATGAGTATATGAGTGAGTATATGAGTATGAGTGAGTATATGAGTGAGCATGAGTATATGAGTGAGTATATGAGTACATGAGTGAGCATGAGTATGAGTATATGAGTGAGCATATGATTACATGATTGAGTATATGAGCATGAGTATATGAGTGAGTATGAGTACATGAGTAAGTATATGAGTATATAAGTGAGTATATGAGTGAGCATATAAGTACATGAGTGAGTATATGTGCATGAGTACATGAGTGAGTATGAGTATATAAGACAGTATGAGTGAGCATATGAGTATATGAGTGAGCATATGAGTATGAGTTAGTATATTAGTACATGAGTGAGCATGAGTATATAAGTGAGCATATGAGTGAGCATGAGTATACGAGAGTGCTTATAAGTATATGAGTAAGTATGAGTATGAGTGAGTATGAGTATACAAGTGAGCATGAGTATACGAGTGAATATATGAGTATATGAGTGAGTATGAGTATACGAGTGAGTATATGAGTATATGAGTGAGTACGAGTATACGAGTGAGTATATGAGTATATGAGTATACGAGTGAGCATGAGTGTACGAGTGAGCATATGAGTATACGAGTCAGCATGAGTATATGAGTGAGCATGAGTATATACGTGAGTATATGACTATATTAGTGAGTATATGACTATGTGAGTAAGTATATAAGTATGTGACTATATGTGAGTGAGCATATGACTATATTAGTGGGTATATGATTATATGTGAGTATATGAGTATGTGACTATATGTGAGTGACTATATGACTATATGTGAGTGAGTATATGACTATATTAGCGAGTATATGACTATATGTGAGTGAGTATATGACTATATTAGTGAGTATATGACTATATTAGTGAGTATATGACTATATGTGAGTGAGTATATGACTATATTAGTGAGTATATGACTATATGTGAGTGAGTATATGACTATATTAGTGAGTATATGACTATATGTGAGTGAGTATATGACTATATTAGTGAGTATATGACTATATGTGAGTGAGAATATGACTATATGTGAGTGAGTATATGAGTACTGTATATGTGAACGAGTATATGAGTGTATATGAGTGTGGGTATATGAGTATGTGCTTGGTAATTCGTTGGTCTGAGTGCAGAGTCAGCACACACACAGCTGACAGCTGTGGTGTTGTTGTGCAGTTGATTGCTCCTGTACAGTGAAATCCTCCCTGAGGGAGTAGCAGACAGCCTGAGAGATCAGCTACAGGCACAGGAGAAGCTCAGGGGACAACTCGTTACTGGGACATTTTCAGCACTGTTCTGAATTCCACTCTGAGAACTGACTTGAAGCTCTACTTATCATGGTAATGAATGTCTATCTTGATGATGACTGTCATATATATATATTGTCATTTTGCCCACCTGTATGAATGTGCAGTCAGTAGGTGGTCCTATGTGCAGTCTGCAGTAAACTAAATTAATTTCAGATGCATTGTGAGGGCACATTTTGCACTGGGCCTGCATTTGTATGTACATCTGGCCCTTAATCTGTGTATAATGACACGGTATTTTTACTAATACTAAATATTACAGGAATTCAAAAATCACCCTTTAAATGAAGTCTTTGTTCCTGTAATACTTGTGGAAATGATATACAGTCCTGTGTGAAAGTCTTAAGCACCCAAGCAAACTATTTAAAACTACTTTGCCATAGTTAGTGTGTTTTAGTTGAAAACACCATATAACAACAGACTAAATATAAACAAACATTTGTTAAAGTAACAAGAATTTCTTGTTTTTAATCACGAGGCTGGTTAGAAGAACAGGGGTGTAGTTTCAGATTTCTCCCCAGACGCTCCCAGTGTGCTCTCTGTACCAGCACGCTTGATGAAATGGTTAAGTGAACACACTGACAGACAAAATCACTATATATTGTGTTATTATTATTTGTATTTATTTTAATGTTGTTTCTTTGCATAAACATTTACTGCCTAAATAAATAGCTCATTAAATATAATTTTCTCAAGTGCCTAAGACTGTAGGTCTATGAAGTTTAGAACAAAAAGATTATGTAACAGTTGTTGTCCCAGTGTTGTGCACTTTTTAAACGGATAAGGTTGATTAGTGGTCAGTGTTCGTGTATGTGCTTGCTTTCTAAGCCCAGGTTTCTATCTGGTTGGTGTGTTTTATATTGTATTGTTGTCTTATTTTATATAATTATTCTTATTTTTATCTATTTGTATTCTGGCTTGTATTCGTCTCCTTTTATGTGCTATTGACTAAGCTCCATACTTAAAATCACAATTTATATACATTTTTAATACTTACAAATTGCAATCAAACTGTTAGATTAGATTGGGTTTTTTTTTTTATTTGTGTGTGTGTGTATGTAATGAGTCAGCATCAGCATGGTGGCATCACTACCACACAATTTCCCAGACATGTCAGTCAGTTTTTGGAAAAAGACATTAATTAATAGAAAATCTAAGTATTATTATACTTGCCAGTATTAATGTACTTATTATCACATAATAAACAAATATTATCTATTACTTTAATCATAAAATAGATGTATCACCTCTGATGTTTTTTTGGTGATGTTCAGATTTGGTGACATTCACATTGTATTTAAAATTTTTAATTTTTTGAGGTGAAAAACTTTGTTTTGAAAGTGGTCTGAGAAGGTCCAGTGAATTACCCACTCACAACTGCACAGTGACCTGCAAGGCAATGCAAGAAGAAACAGGCCAAAAATAAAAAGTCATAAGTAATAGAAGCACTAAGATTGGAGATATTAATGGAGTTCACTGTTAGAGTCTCTCTGTTGCCACCAGTCCTAGATACAAACAACACAGTGTTGCCGATGACGTCTGAGAATGAGCTTTGTTAGGAAGGATTTTACAAACTCTTGACAGTTCAGAGCTCTTACAGAAGTAATGGGAACTATCAGTAGTCATCACCTTTGATGTACCTTAATAAACTGTCTCATACTGGGCTTGTTAAAGTATTTTAACCAAAGCTTTCCTGTTCACCTGACTCCCAAAAAAAGAACCAGCAACTATAGATGACAAAAGTGCAGAACACAATTTAGAAGAACGCAATATATAGAACTGAGGAAAACTGTACTGGACATATTAATTCTCAAATATTCTCTAAAAAGGACTTATTTTCTAAAGTAGTCAGGTTATTAATTGTGCAGCCTACTGATATCCATTTACAGAGCATAGTAGACAACACAAAACACATTTTAAACAATTTTTTGGTTTAAGATCAGCACTGGTACAAATTCAGGACAGGATGGAGAGGACATGCCCCCCTATTTTTTTTGATTACACAAGATATTTTGGGGGTCACAGGATGATTGTCAAAAAAAAGTTGCAGAAGAGCTGTCAGATAACAGTTATATTAGATATGCCATAACAGTTATGAATAATCCTTCCTTTTTCATTAATTACTAAGATTACGAAAATATATACAGATTTGTTCTTGGAATCGAAGAAAAAAGGTAAGGCAGACATTTAAAGAGAATGTTTGGAGAGTAAGAATTTCTATCTTAAACTTTGTTATGAAATTAAGAAAAAAGCATAAAGATTTTATTTTGTTATTTATCATCTTCTTTTGTTAAGTTAATTTATGCTATTAGCTACAGGATCCTGCATGAATATACAATTGAGTGCCAAATAAGGAACAATACTGGCCGTTTCAATTGAGAGATTTTTGCCCTTTCGTGTTTCCTCGGTTGGATTTGAATTGCATTGAAAGATTCTCAAGTCAAGTGATCCATCAAACCAATTAGGGCAGGTTTTCATCAGCGGATCCAGTTCAGAGCCCCACACATTCTCTTTAGTGCCTGATCAACTAGGAAAGATCGGTGTCACAATTCACACAAGTGATTTCTGATTGAGATGAAGTAAATTGACATTTGACAATTAACATTTACTAAGTTCTTTCTGCAGAGTTTGTTGACTAGTCTAACTTAATCAGTAACCGCTCACATTGTTTAAATAAACAGTCACCTTTCAAAGCCACATGGTAACGGTTTTACACTTTAACATCTCAAATTCCCACTTGCATTAGCCATTAATATCCACTATCAAAGTTACTCCCAGTCAAGCTTTACTTGTGTAATCCGATATTGCAGACAAATTCAAAATCTGACTCCTGCCAGAAAATAAAAGCTTAAAAAGGTGGGAAAAACCTCTGCTGCTGTAGAGTTATTTATGTTGCCATGGCTACGTACTGCCATCACCATTTGGCCTGAAACACCCACACAGTCCTTATCAGGCAAAGATATTGAGTTTTCATAGATTTTAACTTTGTCTGTTAAATTCAATTTAACTAATTTTTTCTCATATCTTCAGTGTCATTGAGTTAAGTTTAATAATTGCAATCGAGCTGAGAGCCCACTAAGATGCTTTCGCAAAACCAGTCTTTATATGTTTTAATAAACTAGGCTAATTTGCCTTATACAATATCTGCTGGAATGACAGTCAAACTGCAGACATAGAGGTTTTAGATTCAGTGTTGAGTCTGATGAGTGAGTGTGATTTTCAGAGATGATGTTAAATAGAGAAGTGTGATACCTCTTCACGTCTGGAGAGCAGATCCAGGCAGTGTCTCAGTGCAGAGCTCGTCTCACTGCATAGCTTACATATCTCTCTGGCCTTCAGGAGCTCAGGACCTGCCATTTCTCTCTCTTAAACACACAGACAAACAAAACACACCAAAATTTCAAGCTAGCCCAACATAGCGGGAAAACCACAACCCACAAATGTTTTTCTGGTTGCTGTAGCATCCCTGTAAGCTTAAAATCTCTACTGCCCTCCTGAAGCTGGTGCCTATGGGCACGTTAGAGCCATTAAACATGCTGTTTTGGTGCTGTTTTGTAATACAACAGGTGAGAACAAGTTGCAATAGAGGAGGTTCTTACTGTTGTTATCCTCATTCTTCACCATAGAGACGAAGACAGCCACCTGAGACTCCAACTTCTGCTGGTAGCTTTCAGCTGCCTATGAGGAGAACACAGCTCATTTACATGTAACACCCTATCTTGCCCTGTCCTTGTCTTTCTGTTTCAGCTCGTTTTCTTGTTCCATGCATTTTTGTTTACATAGGCCATGTGCTTATGTTGTTGTTTTGTCTCCTCCCCTGTCCTGCCTTCTTGTCATCTGTTTCACCTGTCTGTTGTTTGTAGCCCCGTCCCCTTATTAATCTCAGGTGTTTCTGTTTCCCCTCAGTGTATTTACACCCCACTGTTTGCTCTGTCTCTTTATCTTGCACTGCTTTTTGATGCTGATCTGACCATTTGTTGTTTAGGTTCTGTCAATTTTTTGTAGGTTTGTTAGTTGTTTCATCTGTCTTCCTTTGTGTTTAGTTTTGGTTTTGTTTCCTTCTCTTTGTTATGCTTCACCATGGACTAATCTACTTTACTCACCTTTGCTCTTTTGTCAAGCTTGTAACAATAGAATAACGCTTTATGGTATACACTCTTAAAAAGATGGTTCCTTAAGGGTTCTTTAGTAAAGAAAATGGTTCTATATAGAACCATGAACACTCAAAGAACCCACTGCATGATTAAAGGGTTCTTTGCATCATGAAAAGATTGTTCAAACTGGTGGAGAATGTGTTGTAGATGGTTCTATAGAGAACCTTCTTGAAAAGGGTTCTTTATAGCACCAAAAAGAGTTCTTCTGTTGTAACAAGCTCATGCTGGCAGAATGCTTCTTGGTGTTATATAGAACACTTTTTTTTAATAATAATAATAATAATAATAATAATAATAATTAGGCTAAACGTATGCATTAATGGCACTGCACTTTTTCTTATAGGTGTAGATTTTAGCCAGATAATTTTGAAATGAACTCAATTTGGCTGATTCAACTCAATGCTAAACCTAAAATAGATGAAGCACCTCAGAGAAAACCGGTACACATCACTTAAAATGGATTTTCTGAGACCCCAAAGCACAATACCATTCATGAAACAACCTCTACTAAAGTTGTCTGCCTAGAAGGAACAGCATCAAGGCCTCATGTGCTGTAAGGTGCTTATTACTATCCAGGTATAGTTCTCAGCCAGGTCTCATTTAAAAATGTAGAGTTCTCAAAAATTCTAATGTAAAATGCTATAAAAAGAGCATCCTATTGAACAGTGACCTCATTATGCAAGGACTCCTAAAAATGTGACAATTTCTTGGTGACTTTTGAAAGTAACAGTATACAAAAATGGTAAGATTGTTTATAACGCATTTATAATGTTTATAACGCCAAAATAAAAATAAATCTAACTGAACCTGCTTCAAAACGGCAACAACTGGCAAACATTGACTCTTTCCAAGCTGATCTGATTAGACTTATTGTTGCTTTGATGGTTGACTTGTGTAACAGTTTGGTTATACTTTATTGTAGGGTGCTGTTCATGAGGCTACATGACACCTACATAAGTTTGTCATGACAACTGACAAAACCCTATGTAAACCTTTATAAATGCTTATTTCAATAGGTGTCATTTGCTATAAAGGTTACATTTGACAATTTTCATCAGTTAGCTAAAGTAGCCTTATGACAGATGATGCCTATTGGAATAATCATTTATAAACATTTATGTAGGGTTTTGTCAGTTGTCATGCCAAGCTTATGAAGGTGTTGGGTAGCTGTATAAACAGTACTCTACAGTAAAGTATCCTTAGTTCAGATCACTCTAAGAATTTCACATTTTACAATGCAGGTTTGCGATAGGCACTATAGCAACAGACAGACCACTGCAGTTCATGACATTTCATACCGGCATATGTAGCATGTGTTTAGGGTAAAGCCTCATACCACATGGAGGGACTGAGCAGGAAGAAGCTTAAGGTACCTGCAGGCAGTCTGACAAGTCTCCCAGAGCCGTGTCCTCTTCAGCTGCGTGCTCTTCCTCTGCACCGGTGTTTTCCGGCCTGCCACAGCGAGCGCTGTATGCTGAGTGCTCCTCTATGGCGTCCAGCCATTTCTATCCATATGGAGGGCACAGGTGAGCATCAACATTTGATGGTTAGTCCACTACTACAGTATTGGTACAGGTCAAATTCATACAGGTCAATTCAAGACTACTGAAAAAATTTAGACATGTCCCATTACAATCATCACATATGTTATATGTGAAAGAGTTGCCACAATACCAGAATTTTGATCCTATTACCCAGTGTCCCATATTTTCTTGTACAATGACGTTTGTGTGGCTACCAAAAACAGTTGTGTCTTTTAATATCAAAGAGGCTGTATTTGTTACTATGCCTTTAAAACTGATACATGCAAATTAGCTGTGATCAGATTGGCTGCCCTGCATTGAGCCTCATTCAAAAAGCAGTAAAGGCCAAAACACACCTTACAACTTCAGTGTGAGGAGCTGAACTGCTGTAGACTAAATAGGCGGATTGTTTTTGCAGATTTTTGTTCCTACTTTACCATTCATCAAGGATTCTTTAGTAAAGGAAATGTAAACAGTTCTATATAGGGTTCTTTAGTAAAGAAAATGGTTCTATATAAAACCACAAACACTTAAAGAACCCTTTGCATGATTAGAGGGTTCTTTGCACAGTGAAAGAGTTCTTCAGATTGATGGACATAATTGTATATAGAACCTTTTTAAAAAAAGGCACCAAAAGGGGTTATACTGTTGTTATGATGTCAAGGTTGTAACAATAAAAGAACCCTTTTAAGGGTTCTTTAGTAAAGAAAATGGTTCTATATAGAACCGTGGACACTCAACGAACCCTTTGCATAATTAAAGGTTTCTTTGCAAGGCTGTTCAAACTAATAACACCAAAACACCAGAAAGGGTTCGTCTGTTGTTACAAGTTCATATCATAACAAAAGCAGAACTCTTTCTGGTGCTATATAGAATGCTTTTCAAAACGTTTCTATGTAGAACCATCTAGAGCACATTCTCCATCAATCTGAAGAACGCTTTTATGATGCAAACATTTTTTGAGTGTTCATGGTTCTATTTAGAACCATTTCTTTACTAAAGAACTCATGAAGAACCATGTTTTAAATGTGTGTAGTTATTAAGAACTGACTCTTAGATTTGCCGACATGTATATCCACAGTCATGATGCATTCATTTACAACTCACTCTTCTGGTGACTTCCGGTTCTCCACAATTAAAGGACACTTTGAAGTGATGAACACTGCCATCACAACACCTGAGTGTGAAAAAGTATTTATCCCAGGCTTTCACCTGTAAACCAAACAAACAAATGTCAGAATGATTAACGTTTTAGTGTTTTTCAAAAATTAATAATATTTTATATAATTAAATTTAATGTATTAAATTATTATTAAGTTAATGTTTTACATGTTTTAAATGTTGTCTGATACATGTGTATCTACTATATCCATTTAAACTTGCACATCAGTGTTTAATATACTGGAGAGCTGTTTTTTTTTTAATCCCATTCAAACAAGACTCGCAAGTGCTGATGGATCAATACCATGTTTGACCACAGACTGCTGAACCACAGTGTTTTGCGACTCACCACACACTGAGCCCTCATAAGAGGCTTAAAGCCCTGTCTGCGATCGCTGCACTCCGCATCAGACCTGCAGCAACACCCAACACGACACAGCATATACAGATGCACAGCAGCACTGAAATGTCTTTAACTTGCTATCAGACATGAAACGAGTTCTGAATAGACAATAACTGAACTATTATAGTTATTATAGTAATAAACATAACGTAACATGATATACTTTCTACAATACTGTCTCTGAGGAAATGTCTTTATTCACCCAGAACAGCATCAAAGCCAATTAGGAACAAATATTCTCACACAAGACAATCACAGTAGAGCCCCATTGATGGGTCCACTACAATTCAAAAGTTGGTAATCAATGTTTTTAAAAATGTAAAAGCAATTTAATTGCAGTGACTGTGTAAAATTATGTAATATTAATATGCTCATCCTGTACAGCTTCACAGTTTTCACATTATAGGTATGAATTCATATAGAGAATTCAGTTACATAATTTTATGTATGGCATCAATTCAATGCAAGAGCATAAACTGGCCTCTAGATAGGCTTTTCAGGTGCTTTTCCCATAAAGAAATCACTAGAGTTAAGAAACTTACTGTTTTGAGTACCAGCTCAAGTTCCCATTCTCCAGAACAACCCAGTGTGAGGCCCAGGCCAAGAAATTTGACTTCTGAGAATCAGCAAAGAGAAAAAGACACGTATTTAATATGATTTTAAATAGAGACTCCTCAGTAGGACTTTAAATTAGCCTAAGACTAAAATTACTCTGTGTCTGTAATAACAGTCTCAAAACAGCACCATAACACTTTGACGCCACCTGCTGGCTGCAATTGCAAGGCCTTTGCAAATAAGATCACGCTAAGCCTGCTTTAACAGACCTTATGAGCAATTAATGTTTGGTTACATAAAACAGCACGTGTCTAATATTTATCAGGGTATGTATAGAGTTACTTTAGGGGGGTTACAGAAATGGTCATGGACATATTTAAAAAACAGCGGGATTACAGAACATCATCTGTCCTCACCTTCCACAACAGTCCTTCAAACTTTCTGGCCGTGCTGGCTGCACTCTTTGGAAGAGAAGAACAGACTGCATTTCCAAAGCTTGTCAAATCGATAATGTAGCGCTGAATCATGTCAAAACCAGATACAATATCAAAACACAAGCCCACCTTTTCTTTACATGTTTCTAGTAGAATCCTTATCTCATCATCTTCTGTAAGGTCCAACACAGACTGGCCTAGGATACAGCAGGGGATTAATCTGAAGTTATGCCATCCTTATTAATACAAAATATATGCCACAATAATTCTCGGTGTGTTTCTACATAGACACCAATAAACTAAGGCCATAACCCAGGGTGTTTGGGGGGGCTGTTTGTAGTGGGCAGACAACCAGAAAACAACACAGTACACAAATAGAGGGTACGTAAATTTCAGTTTGAGTTTTCAAACATTTAATATACATTACACTACATTACATACTTCAAAAAGCAATTTTAAAAGGAAAACAAGAAACTAATAAGATTGTTCTTTCACTGGGTGAGGCGGGTGGAGCTAGGTGGGTAAAAACAAATGTCCTCCAGTTTTGTTTTTCCAGTGAGCAGGCCTCACTCTGGGTAGCCCTGCCATACACCATGAGTTAGGACTGTATCATAATGTGACTGACATATAATGCCTACTGTAAATAGCTTATGCAGGTAAAAAGAGATAAGAGTTAGAGCTAAGTAGGTAAATTACAAGCAGATTTATTATTTGTGTGTACTGTAGATGTTGTGTACATATGTAAATTGTCCATTCATTGAGAGAAAATATCTCATGATTACAATAAACAAAGCAAAGCCACCAGCTGTGTCTCATTCCATAAAACCAGTTGGGTCTCATTATTGCTCAGACTTGGCAGAGATACAGTACTGTACCGCTCCTGTTCTTGGCAGTGGGACTGGCTCCATTCTTAAGCAGCTCATCCACGAACTGTCTATGCCCCCTGCAGGCTGCAATGTGTAATGGTGTGTTGCCTTCAGCGTCTTTGCAGTGGATATCTGGCGGCCTGTTCCTGAGGAACTGAAAAAAAAAGATTCAGAAAGAGAAACGCAAGACCTGACCATACACTACATGTCCAAAAGCGTCCAGACCCAGACAGCCCTTCTACTCTGTGAATTCAGCTCCATTAATTTGCACCCAGTGCTGACAAAGACACACACACAACCGCACATGAGGTCACCATGACCAATGCCAAACATGGGCTACACTCTCAGAAAAAAAGGTATGAAACGGTCACTGGGGCAGGACCCCTCTTGTCACTGGGGTGGTACCCTCAAGGGTACATCTCAGCACCTTTAGTTAGGGAACATAACATAAGTTGTATTGACTCCACACACCCCGTCTCGTCTCCAGGCTTTTTATTTTATTGTTCTGTTTTGAAACATTCGGTGATGAAAAGGTACAAATACATACTTTTCACCTGGAAAAACTTATTTAAGGTACACAACTGGACCTTAAAACCACTGTTGTACCTTTGAGGGGAACATTTACATTGCTTGTACCCTAATGAACAAAAAATGTACCTGCATAGAACCTTTATTTTTGCCAGTGAAGAGGGGTATGAAGCTTCACAGCCCAGTGCTGGGGGGCTTCATACACACCTTTGGAATGAGTTGGAGTGACCCAGAACCAATCATCCAACATCTGTACCTGACCTTACTAGTCCTTTTGGGGCTGCATGCAATCAAATCCTCATAGCAATGTTTCAGGATCTAGTGTAAAGCCTTCACAGAGGACTGGAGGCTGTTACTCAATAGGGACGTCAGGGCCTTCAGAAAAGGCCTGATGACTTCTGAGAACTAAAAAAAATACATTTTGTTAATTTTTATTTTGAGACGTCATGCTTGTTGTATTGTCTGCAAGTATAGTATGAATACTCTTATTTCATTGTTAGGTTTTGGTTGGAAACAAAAGGGTTAAGATCTTGAAACAACCCAAAAAACTGTCCAATCAGGACAGTACTAGGTAGTTACAGCCAAGCTAGCTCTCCTATTGGTCAGGACTTCAGGAGATAAACAGCCTTACATGTTAGCTTAACTACTAACATCATTAGGAACTGACAGTAAATTCAAGCAATTATGTTTTGATTTCCAGTGGTTGGGACTAATTTCATGAGGAAAAAACCCAAGACCTTCTGGAAGTCCTGGATACGTCACTGACTGTGAATATGAGCTGCAGTCTAACCAGGTTTCAGTCAGTGATCAGAAATGGAAAATAGCGGTACCTTTTTGCCAGGACTCTGCAGAAGAAATGCCAGATACAAGGTAAAATATATGTGAATATGTCTGTTACAAGCTTCAAATATCCATGTTTCATCTAGAACAGCCAAAAATGTTGCATCAGTGTTAGTTTAACCCCTTAAATGGCCAGGACCCGCGGGTGACGTCTACAACCCAATAATAGCTCAACCAGTTTACGTTGAAGTCTGTAGTTACTGAATGTTAAGCCTTAGTATGCAATAAGCCTGGATTTTAAGGGGTTAATGGTAACACATTATTAGAAATCTGAAAGGGGAGCTTGCAGAAATTCGCATTATTGTTAGGTGTTTTTTTTTTGACAGTTATGGCCTAAATTATCATGGTCGGCCAGTACTGTTACTGCAGCAGCGTGGGGCAAATTTCTTGATACCTTTGGTTTCAGAATAAGCGTTGGATAAGGAGATGTCTACAAACTTGTGGACACACATTACAGCTCTCATAAACACACTATTACAAGAGTAGGACTAACCAGCTGAGCTATGGTGGGGGAATCTCCCTCTCTCGCTGCTTCCAGAAGTTTCTCCTCCATCTTCCTGCTCTCTCTTCTCTCTGCAGCTGGAGCAGGCATGAAAAATAAGGAAAAAAACAATGTTAAAGATGGACCATTTCTGTACAGAATGCAATCTAGGCCAGGCAGCCACCCCCGTAAAGTGCCCACCTTCCAGCATAGTAATGATTTCATCATCTTCTGTGACAGCCCTAGGGGTCTGAGCAGCTCCGTTGATTACTGTGGCACAGGCACCATACCGCAGGAGCAGCAGAACAACCTCCTGGGTGTGGAAAAAGGGGGAAAAAGGGGGGAAAAGGTAGAGAGAGAGAGAGGGAGAGAGAGAGAGAGAGAGAGAGAGAGAGAAAGAGAGAGTGAGAGAGAAAATAGTGAGCAAGAGAAAGACAAAGCAGAGAGTGAGACAGAAAACAGAGAGGGAGATTGAGGTAGAGAAATAGACAGAGAGAAAGTAGTGAGAAAAAGAGAAAGGAGAGAGTCAGACAGAAAGAGGGAAAAGAGGTTGAGACAGATAGATAGACAGACAGACAGACAGACAGACAGACAGACAGACAGACACATAGATAGATAGATCTTGAGGTAGACTGAGGTAGATCTTGATAGATTGAGGTAGAGAGAGAAATAGGTAGATGGAGAGAGTAGTGAGAAAAACAGAAAGGAGAGATGCAGACAGAAAGACAGAGAGGGGACTTAAGTAGAGACAAACAGAAAGACAGACAGACAGGCAGGCAGACAGGCAGGCAGACAGGCAGATAGATAGACAGAGAGACAGACAGATAGATAGAAAAGAGAGAAAGAAGACAAAGAATAGTGAAAAAGAAGAGAAAGAGAAAGGAGAGAATGAGACAGAAAGAAAGAGAGGGGACTGAAGTAGAGATAGATAGACAGATAGACAGACAGATAGACACAGACAGACAGACAGAAAAGAGGGGAGAAAGAATAGTGAGAAAGAAGAGAAAGAGAAAGGAGGGAGTGAGACAGAAAGACAGAGAGGGATTGAAGTAGAGATAGACAGATAGATAGATAGATAGATAGATAGATATTCTGCTAATGTTTAATACGTTTAATATTAACATGAAAATATTCCACGAACGTATTCTGTGACTAGTTTAGTAACACGTGCACTTTACTATAAACATAAAGTGAAACGCTGTGAAAACAAACCTACGTTTGAACACTGTAGTTCAGATCAGGGGTGAACAACCCCAGCCAGCTCAGCTGTTACCTGCCAGGTTTAGTGGGTGAGTCTGAGCAGGTAAACCACCACACTGTGTGGACAGCGGCCCTCTAGGACCGGAGTTGTGCACCCCCGGTTTAGATATAAGAGCAGATTCACAGACTCTATAAACATATAAAAACACGCTGCGCGGACTCTTTTAATGAAGCTTTTTTTGGAAAGCGAATTTTAAATGTAGCACATGCAAAAAAAACAAACCTTTCTTCCTGACTGGGCTGCAAGGTGGAGAGGAGTGTCGCCCCAGGTCATTCTGCACATTCACCTCAACACCTGCCTGCACAGTAAACAGAGGAACAGTCACAACAACAACAATAATAACAATAATGAAAATAATAATGATGATGATGTCTGTGTTACTTTTTTCTCATTTTTCTAGGTATCATTTCCTTTTTTCATGCTTTTTTCGCAAACTCACCAAACAAACAAGCACTTCTCTGTCACTCTTACTGCTTTACTCTTCCTGTCGTCTCTCTTACCTTCAGCAGTCCCTCAGCAACTTCTTTCTGGCCGAAGTAACTGGCCAGGTGAAGTGCTGTCCAGCCGCCGTTTGGGCTGTTTTTACCCAACAGGAACATCAAGAACCCAAAACAGCCCAACAGTGTGAGAAACTCGCACTTGTTTCCCTGTCAGTCTTCCTGAGCTATAATTGGCTAGCAGCGTCTCACTTCACGAGCTTGCAATCTCTAGTAGTGTCTTGTTTCCTGCTCTGGGATTGGCTAACAGTCCTGTCCCGCCTTCTGCGCTCTGATTGGCTAGTAGTTCATTCTCATGAGTGAGATCTCCCAGCCTTGTTTTGTAGAGGTGGGGTTTGTCGGAATACAGGTGGGGAAAAAATGTTTTGTTTTCTACATCTGGAGTTTTATCTCCTGCAGTTTCCAGTAGCCTTTTATTCAACTTCAGCTCTTGACCCAGAGCCTCGCCTGTGCTGAGTGCTGGATGTTAATCCTCACCCTGACCGAGGACACGCCCTACACCGACTGATCCTTGTGAAGTGACCGGATAAACGGTGTTATTGTTCTGTTCTGGAGTAGTTAATGGAGCGCAGCAGTCAGAGTGATGGTCAGAAGTTCATATGTAATCACAGCTTTGCTAAGCTAAGGGTAAAGACACTGTGTGTCCAGAACTTTGTGAAGCATAAGAAGGTTTCTAAATAAAGAAAGATATCTGACACCTGCAGTGCTTCGCAGTGGACACGCTACCCTGAAGCTAAAGCAATCCCAGCAAACAGAGAAAACCGTTTTCAGATGTACCGGTGTATGTGTGTGTGTGTATACATATATATATATATATATATATATATATATATATATATATATATATATATATATATATATATATATACACCGATCAGGCATGACCACCTCCTTGTTTCTATGCTCATTGTCCATTTTGTCAGCTCCACTTACTATATAGGTGCACTTTGTAGTTCTACAGTTACAGACTGTAGTCCATCTGTTTCTCTGCATACTTTGTTAGCCCCCTGTTACCCTGTTCCTCAGTGGTCAGGACCCCCATGGACCCTCACAGAGCAGGTGCTATTTGGGTGGTGGATCATTCTTAGCACTGCAGTAACACTGACATGGTGGTGGTGTGTTAGTGTGTGTTGTGCTGGTACAAGTGGATCAGACACAGCAGTGCTGCTGGAGTTTTTAAACACTGTGTCCACTCACTGTCCACTCTATTAGACACTCCTACCTTGTCAGTCCACCTTGTAGATGTAAAGTCAGAGACGATAGCTCATCTGCTGCTGCGCAGTTTGTGCTGGTCATCCTCTAGTCCTTCATCAGTGGTCACAGGGCGCTGCCCACAGGACGCTGTTGGCTGGATATTTTGTTTGGTGGACTATTCTCAGTCCAGCAGTGACACTGAGGTGTTTAAAAACTCCAGCAGCACTGCTGTGTCTGATCCACTCAGACCAGCGCAACACACACTAACACCCTACCACCACGTCAGTGTTACTGCAGTGCTGAGAATGATCCACCACCCAAATAGTACCTGCTCTGTGGGGGTCCATGGGGGTCCTGACCACTGAGAAACAGGGTAACAGAGGCTAACAAAGTATGCAGAGAAACAGATGGACTACAGTCTGTAACTGTAGAACTACAAAGTGCTCCTATATAGTAAGTGGAGCTGATAAAATGGACAATGAGCGTAGAAACAAGGAGGTGGTCATAATGGTAAAGGATTTTATTTCATTTTATATTTATGTTTCTAAGGGTGAGCATTAAAATAATCATATACACTTGTGTGCAAAAGTTTAAACATCCCAAGCTAAATGTCATTCTGTTGATTTTCTAATTGGAAGTAAGTGAACACACCCTCTACAGAGAACACACTTAAATATGGCCTTTTTCTGCAAATTTTAGAGCACAAATTCTATTTATTTGCAAAGTTTAACATGAAAAAATAAAACATTAAATATAAAATGTGCTATAACCTTTGCACAGGCCACATTTTACGTTTTGATTTACTCCCAGTATGTTAAATTCAGCAAATAAACAGTAAATGTGTTCTCTGTAGAGGATGTATTCACTTATTTAGATTTAGAAAATCAGCAAAGCATGTAATTTGTCCAGGGGTGCCCAAACATTTGCATGTAATTGCATATCGCTTGACAAATGTGTTCCAGTTTATTAAACAATTAGCTTTTCACTAATTACAGAGTATATATCAGAATATTGTTTGCAACCCCCCCCCAATAACAACAGCAGTTCCATGCAGTCAGAAACGTCATTATAAATCATACTGTAAGAGCCAAGTAAGCTCAATACTCTTATGTGTTGCTACAGAACACAGTCATGTTAATTAGAGGTGAAACAATTATATTTCACTAAATATAATATGGTGCTTATACATATTTGTGATTTTATTACTTGGTATATTGGTTTATTTATTTCTTTATGAATTTACTGAACTGTCTGGTATGCCAGCTGGCATAACTGCGTTTTAGATGTGGTGTCTCTGATGATGTTTTTTAATCATGATGCACCCTCTTGGCTATATGAAGCTTTAGCGAAAGTTCTGCCAGGAAGACTGTAATGCTACATCATTCATTCACTACTCCTGACCAATCACGGGCCTGTACAGCCCGTGTACAACTTATGAACCTATTCTGCAGCTTTCAGGTGCCTACATTTTGACGTTCCTCTCCACCACCACCAGCTGGGTCCCTGTCTGGTTGTCCGGGCATAGGCTCTGCCCCCTGCCATCTCTATCTGGCTAGATCAGTGAGGGTCTCAATGCTCCAAGACCTGGACCCAGGGCGGGGCCTATGCCAAAGACTCCTTAATTTCTACTGAATTGTTATCATCCAACTTGTAAAACTCAGTTGAGGATATAAAACATTGTCCTCGTTCACTCTTGCCTCCTGAGTCTTTCTGGCAGAAAGTTCACAGGGGATCCATGGTGCCAAGCATGCTATTCCAGCTCATAGGAAAGGGGGCTAAATACTCCAAATACCCTGGCACCTTTTGCTCCAAGACGGGGGGCCTTTTACCCCAGTTGAGAAGTTAAACGCTGTCCTTGACCCCTTAATGTTTTTATACAGTTAATCAAAGAAAGTTGCCTTTATCCATTCTGACACAAATCAGGTTAGACCAGGGTGCCCATCCTGGTCCTGGAGATCTACCACTCTACAGAGGTAAGCTCCTGACTTACTCTATCACACCAGGTCCAGGAAATGAAGGCCTTCAGGGGCATGAATAATAGAGCCTGGTGTGTTGGATCTGAACTCTCCAGGGTGGTAGATCTCCAGGAGCAGGGTTGGGCACCCCTATGTTAGACCATCAATATCCAATAAATACAAATGTATTCAATGTTTACAACATTTTGCAGACAGTCTTATCCAGAGCAACTTACAGTGGAGTGTTAGGAGTCTAGCCCAAGAACTCTTATTAGTAATGTATGTATTCTTGCAAGGAGGGGAATTTAACCCCATTCTGCCACACAGGCAGCAGTGTTACCATTTATGCCTCCCCAGCAGCCAAATGTCGATGCCTTTTTAGAATCAAAAAGCAGGGCAGGTGTCCTGTTGTTGTGGGGAGTAAATCAAATGAATCATATATGGACTTGTACCTAGACATAAAATGCTACTGCAATGCTTTTTTTACATCTTGCAGCATAACAGAGTTCACTCACTACTATATTATAAAAAATGAAAACATTTAATTTGAACCAGATTCACACTGATAAACAATAATGGGAAATACCCTTTAACCTGCTTTAACCCAGAGGATTGTAATGAATTTAATATTCAAATAATCTTTCAGCAAAATGGTTGAGATTAATGATATGTAGATCATGCTGTAATTAATCTTAACCCCCCAAGTCACAAAAGTGTCTTTATGCAAAATTTTTGTTCATCATGTTTATAATAACATTGCATATTCATGAAATGTCCCATTTTCAGCCAAAATGAGGTGAATTATTTTTTCCTGGAGGTGAGAGGCGAAGGCTGGCTTGGGACATTGGATGAATGGCTTGAAGGTAAGGGGGCAATGGGTAAAGGTGGGAAGGGGGCTATGGGTAAAGTTAGGAATAAAACCTGGATTCCAGTATCAGGTGATCTCTGCATGACTCTGCCTGATACTGATGCTTGATGATATTTGGGAGTCAGGAAGGTTTTTGAGCTTTGATGCTGAATGTCAAGTGTTCGAGTGCAGTATTTTGTGTTCTAGTGCACAGTTTTGTGTTTTCTTGTACCAAAGTCTCATCATTAGCTTCTGATCAATATCCTCCTGAGCTGAATCAGGTGCATTAGACCAGGACGGATGAGACTGCAGTGCAGTATGGATTACGTTACTGAAGTAGGGAGCACAGTGTACAAACACAGTGTACTGAGGACGAAATGATTTATTAATAGACTGTGAAGGAAAAATGGGGGATTTAGACAAAAACATAGATATAAGCATGAAAATGATTTCATTACCGTGCAAAGTCAGAGACAATAATTTATTTATTTAGTTTCCAATTAAAATGGCCATTAAGTACAAGATATTCATTTTTCAGTGTCAGAAATAGTAGCAGAAAGCATATATTTAATGGGAAATTACACAGAATCTTCACAAATTAAATAGAATATTGAATTCTCCAATATTTAGTGTGTCCATGCTTTACCTTTATTACAGCTTACATTCTTTTCAGAAGACTCACTTTCAGTTGTTCAAAGGGACATTTTTTTCAATTCAAAGTTGTAGTTTTAGAATTATTAGAAGTTGGTAGAGTCTTGGAAGATTGGAAGAATGGAAGAGTTAAAGTGGCAATAGGTGCACAAAAGTAAAAGGTGGACAAAACTGATAGATTTGATATTATACTTAGGCCCAACCCCATTTCACCCCATGGCTCCACCACTTAGCCTTTAGCCCTCCGTTTTGCATGTTCTCGTCTAGGGGTAGGGTGTCCCGATTTTTGTTTAGATACAGGAGAAGTGCGAAGCCCTCCAAAGAGATTTTTCAGAGGCACACTCCAAACAGGGTGTTATGAGAGAGAAGAAAAACCAACAAGATGGCTGAGCAAGAGACCAAAGAAACCCACAAACGTGAAAAAAAGAAAAGAAAAAAAGCGCACAAGTGTCTTAATTTAATGTCGTTTCAATGTTTAATGGTCCTTTTCTTCATAGCAAGCAAAAAAATTTGCTAAAAGTGTGCTGATG